TTGGTATTGATATTTGATAATTGTATGAAGGGTAATTTAATCCTAAATTATGTCAAAGTTAGACATGCAAATGAATCAAGCCGCTCCGGCTTGACTTGAGTTGAGCTCGAGCTCGAGTAACTCGCATGTTAAGTCGAGTCGAGTTTGAATCTAATAATATTCGACTTGAGCAGTTTGCAAACTCAGTCAAACTTGGTATATTATATAATATTTTAATTTTAATATTTATTATACATAAATAAAAATAACTAAGAATTTCAAACCACAAATTCTTAGATCAAGCTCGATTTTGATTCGATTATCATCCAGTTGAGCTCGATTTTGATTTTTGATAGATTGTAATTGAGTCGAACTCAAGCCCATCATATATCTATCGAGCTTAACCTCGAAAATTGAAGTTCGGTCAAGCTCGAGCTTCGACTAGGCTCGATTGCAGTCTTAATTAAGAATTTTCTGAATCACTTTTCAATATGGGGCTACTTTTCAATTCCGACCACAAAATAAGGCTATTTAAATTATTTTAAAAAAAAAAAATCTTGAAATTGCCTCGAACCGTAAATTCAAGCCGTGTGACTCGCCATTGCTGATTAAAAGCCACCATAATCTCTTAGATGACGTCGACGCCGTCGGATCGAAAAGCCACCATAATCGACGGCAAAGCCGTCGCTCAGACAATCCGATCTGAAATCGCCGCCGAAGTTGCCTGCTCTCTGAGAAATACGGCAAGGTAAGTTCAGTTTGCAATGAGCTACTGTGTAGAGAATGATGCGTAAAAGAATTGAGTTCAGTTTGTTTGAAGCTTGAGTGGTCAGGTGCGGGACTCGCCGTGGTGATTGTAGGACGCCGGAAGGATTCTCAAAGCTATGTTAGTATGAAGAGGAAGCGTGTGCTGAAGTGGAATTAAGTCGTTTGACATCGACCTCCCTGAGCAAGTTTCTGAAGCTGAGCTCATTGCCAAAGTTCACGAGCTTAATGGATGCCTGATGTTCATGGTTAGCCCTTTTCATTCTCTCTCTCTCTCTCTCCTCTCTCTCTTTTTTTTTTTTTTTTTTTTTGGGTGGTAAAGATTGCCAATTACAGATGACGATTAAATTTAGCTATGTTGCATTATATGTCTATAAAGATTGCCAACTGAAATTCAAATGAAGCAAAATATTCTATTGTCTGTATTGGTGTAGGTAGATTTTGAGGCTGTAGGATTACTTCTAGATTTGTTTGATCTCTGCTGGAAGAAGATTGTTTTGTTTGTGCAGATCTTGTTGATAGTTTCAAATGTTTTCTATTGAGGCTTGGCTTTGCTTGTGAAAAGACCTCTTGTGTCTGTTTAAAAGATACGTTTTGGTATATTGATAGGTGTACTGGTTCTGCTTCTATTGCTGAAGCATAAAAATGAAGAGGAAATTATTTGAACTATGTCATTTATTCTGGCTTTGGTTCTCTTAGTGGAGAGGCCTCTTGTGTCTGTTTTAAAGACAGGTTTTTGGTACATTGACAGGTATGTTGTCTCAGCTTCTGTTGCCGAAGGATATGAATGAAGAGAAAGTTGTTTAAACCATGTTGATGGTTTAAAATGTTATTTATTCTGGCATGGCTTCTCTTAGTGTTAAAGCCTCTTGTTTCTGTTTTTAAAAGACATGTTTTGGTACATTGACAGGTATATTGGTTCAGCTTCCATTGCCACAGCATATAAATGAAGAGAAAGTTTTGAGTGAAATCAGTCTTGAGAAGGATGTAGATGGGTTTCATCCTTTGAACATTGGCAAGCTTGCTATGAAAGGCAGAGAACCTCTTTTCCTTCCTTGCACCCCAAAGGCAATATACTCTGTCTCATGCAACTATCTTTTGCAGAGAAAATTTCCCTCATATTTAATGAGCAATTCTTGTCAGTTAGGTTATAATGTTAATTTCAGTGGGAGTTCTTTTTATTGTATCGTTTATTTTTTCTGAGAGATAACCTTCTCTGCAGGGATGTCTTGAACTTCTATCACGAAGTGGCATAAGTACAAAAGGAAAAAAAGCTGTTGTCGTGGGCCGAAGTAACATAGTTGGACTGCCAGTTTCACTGCTACTGCTGAAAGCAGATGCCACTGTTACTGTGGTGCATTCGCATACTCAGGATCCAGAAAAAGTCATTCGCGAAGCAGACATTATTATTGCTGCAGCAGGACAAGCAATGATGGTAATACCAGACATTTCGTGGATTTGTTTTCCAGTTCAAATAAGATTACCAACTGATACTCATTGTCTAGCACTTCAGTTGATATAGTTCAATTATGCATAATGTGTTGCATCCTCATAATGCATTAGAAATCTTACTTTCAGAGTTGATAGCTCTACATTCTTGAGTATCCCTATTACAAAATCATTCGAATAATCTGAATATCATAAAAGATATCCTCTTTAGTCCTGAGTTAAGTGCTTTATATCCTTGAGATCAGAGATTATAATTCAAATTAATCAAGTTTAAGTTGCAGAAATTTCAAAAATAGAGAAAATTCTACTAGTTTCTGATGCAAACTGTGTCTTTATCATATCGGACTTCCACCTTTCCTTATTACTCTTTCTTTCAGTACTTATAGTTTCTTTCCACCAAAGGTGGCCTCCTCATGAAATCACCTTTTTTGTTAAAAGTGTTTATAGGTCTTGTGTATATTCTATAGTTACTTTAATAAGCTGCACAATTGCTTTACATGAAACACATCTGAAACTGAATGAGCATAGTTCTTGTTCTCTTCTGGTTCCTTGTTGATTTGGAACTATGTATGTAACTTCCACGAGGAGAAATTTGTATTTTTTCTTTTTAAAATTCAATTTCATTACTTGCAGATCAAGGGAAGTTGGATCAAACCTGGTGCTGCAGTTATTGATGTTGGGACAAATGCTATCGATGACCCAACTAAGAAGGCAGGTTATAGGTTAGTGGGAGATGTAGATTACAAGGAAGCTTGTAAAGTAGCTGGATGGATAACTCCTGTCCCGGGTGGAGTGGGTCCAATGACAGTTGCAATGCTTCTCAAAAATACCCTTGATGGTGCAAAGCGTGTGATCGAGCAGTAAAGTTATGTTTGGTTCTTGACTTGAAAATAAAGATGTTGCTCCTCTTATGGTTTTTGTTGGAAAACACATTTATACAATTTCAGCAGAAATGTAATCATAATGTTCATTTTTCTTTATACTTATCAGTGTAATCTTACTGTTTATTTGTCTTTCTACTCATCAGTATATTGTTTAGCATTTCAGAGATGAAGAAATAAAACTGCTTGAAGTCATGCGTTTCCTTTCGCTGACCAGGCCAGGTTACCATCTCTTGAAGGTCTTTCTATCTAACGTCACTTGATTTATGGTTGTTTTAACGAGGCTCCATTGTTTCACCGGTAATAGCTTTTCTTCGTACATTACTTGCACCAGTGTTCTGAAAACTGGACCGGACCGTCCGATCGGACCGGTTCGACCGGGAGCTGGTGGTATTTTCGGTCTGGTATCTTCTGAAAATCGGTATTTTTAGTTAAACCGGATTGAGCCGCGGTTGGACCGCTGGAATAGTGTCAAGTCGCGGTCCAATCGCAACTCAATCCCGCCGGATTCGGGCATCGTTCGAGGGAGAAAACACCACCATTCGACTTGACGGCATCTCCAAGACAAAACCCATCCATTTTCAGTGGCCGTCGTCCAGCCTTCGTCGCTCGCCGTCCACCTAAAGTTCACGCGACCGTCGGACTTCCTTTTTGATTCCGGTAATTTTTGACGCCGATGGCACTCCCTAACACCACCATCAGATTCGCTGAAACCTATACATCAAATGTCCCATGATTCCAAACTTCGATTGGCCGTCGATCGTCGCTGCCGCCACCACTCACCAATCTCTTCATGCGACATGGGTGTTTTAGACAGATCTCAAACCTTAAGGGAGTATTAACTAGTAAGGGGTGTTTTTAATGAATTTCAAACATTTAGGGACTAAAATATCATTTTACAGGATACGATCCAACCGGTCAAACTTGAAACCAGACCCTTGAACGGGTCATAATCCGGTCCAGTTTTGGGAACATTGACTTGTACTGCTTCTTGGATAATGGTTGTCAACTACTGAAAAAGCTTTCTTAGTTGTAGCGTGCATACTTTGATATTACCTTAACGTCAAGCTCAAGAATCAAATGTCAAATGCCAAATGATATCATGTAGCTAATTTATGTTTTGACATTGAAGCTCTCTCATCCTCGTATGAACCGGATTTTTTGATAGGTGAATCACAATCATAAGCTAAGTAAAATCGTTTAGCAATGGAGTTTGTATTCTTAGAAACATGGCAGATAAGCATCTGATGCATTCTTGACAAACTCTTTAGTTTTGATCCAAGCAACATAATTTTGCTCAGCAAGTTAGCATTGCTGATCTGTGTCACTGTTTTTACTTGATACATTTTCAACTTTGATATTGCGAATTAGTGTTATCATTTTCTCACTGTTTCTTAATCCCAAAAGTGAACAATAATGGTCAAGATCAAAAACCAAACAAGAGGGAGGGTCCTCAGTATTTCTCCATTTTCACATGTTGGTTGAGGGACACCATCATGTGGCTTGAAGACGGATACGAAACCCCACTTTCATCAGCAATGCTCTTGATGAGATGGAGAGATGGTAGAATCATACACTACTGGAAGGGGAATGCCTGGACGACTCCTTATCTCATTTAGAGTAGTACCCAAATTATAGAAAATAAATACAAATTTAATTTTCTTAGAAAAAGAAACCCAGTGTTCCACAAACATGTAAGAGAAAAATTATGATTAAAGCTGAACTTCAACAAGTTCGAACTAATTAATCCTCATTAATTGTGAAGAGACATCCGTCTTAATTTGGTACACCTCTAAGGTCCTTGAGCAATAAAAGAGTGATCTTTATCTTATATTATAATTTTTGTATATGAACAGCCCATAAAAGAATCATGTGATAATTAAAACACAAGTGAGAGTTACAAAAACCCTAATATTACCACTGGCCATGGAAGACTCACGGCAAGAAGAACTAGAAGAAGAAGTTAATGCAACAACAGGAAGTTTCATTTGCGAGATTTGTGTCGAATCCGTATCCAAAAACAAGAAATTCAAGACCAAAAACCATTGTGTTCACCATTTCTGTGTAAACTGCATTGCTAAATATATCGAAACAAAGATCACGGAGAACACAGTGAAGATAAAATGCCCGGGATTGGACTGTCAGCAAGTTTTAGATCCTATTTCTTGCAGAGAAATTATCCCACAAAGTATTTTCTCAAAGTGGTGCGATGTTCTTTGTGATAATTACATTCTAGGGTTTGAAAGGAGCTATTGCCCAAATAGGAATTGCAGGGAGTTGGTGGTGAATGAGTGTGGTGAGAATTTGAAGAAAAGTAAATGTCCATATTGTGAGGAATTATTTTGTTTTGAGTGTAAGGTGGCATGGCATGCTGGGTATGGATGTGAAGAAGGTAGAAATATGAGGGACGGGAATGATATTTTGTTTGGGCAGCTTGTTGAGAAGAGAGCATGGATTCGGTGTCCTGGTTGTGGACACTGTATTGAACACAGAGATGGCTGTTTCGTTATCACATGCAGGTTTTAATCTAATCCTCCTCCCCCTGTAATTATATCATATCACATTATTAGTTCAAATTTATTAACTAATTTAACCGGTTAGATCTCTTGAGATTGCATCATAAGACTTGGGAACGAGATAAACTTATCATAGGTTTAACTAAAGAGTAAACAACTTTTTCCCACCCAAGGTTTGCCTTAATACATTTTCACTCAAGAAGTTTCAAAATACTACTTTTCCACCCCAAGTTAATACTCTATTACTACCTAAAGCCAATTCTAGCAGCAAAAATTCTCTACGTCTCCACCATTTAAATTTCTGGTCTTCTCTCTCTAAAAGTTCTCTTACTCCAACACTGATTTCTTGCTGATTGCTAGTAACTGCAAAACTACAATTTCTTGTTCTTAACTGATTTCGGCAACAAATATTTAATCCATCATCACTATTTGACCTACCAACCTCCACTCTATAAAACTCCTCTTACCTTGCGTTTTGGTAACTCATCGAACATCGGTTGGGAAAGTGAAATGTGTTTTGGGTCTTAACGGAATATAAACTTTGGGTGAAAAAGTGCTATTTTCAAACTTTTGGGGTGGGAAATATCATTAAGGCAAACCTTGGGTGGAAAAAAGTCGTTTACTCTTTAACTAAACCTATCAATTAAGTGCCCGTATGCTGATTCTTTATAAAATTAGGCATAGAAAACATGAGAACTTAATTTACTAATCAATCTTGTGAAATTTTGTATGGTAAAAATGCTTGAAGAGAGCTTATATATAAATACTGATGAAAAAACACACCAATCTTGTGAGCTAAAATTAGGGACGAAATTTGGACGTAACTTCAGCTCATCAACAGATAATTTGATTTGCTAACCCAGCATTCAATAAGAAGGAGATTTCAATTAATTTTCCTATCTGTTATATTTAATTTATTTTTGGAATGCAGATGTAACACTCATCTTTGCTATAAATGTGGGAAAGAACTTGTAGGTGCATCGTCATATAGATGTAAGTGCAGTAAATATAATGTTTTACATATAGTACATGAGGGTTATATAGCTACCATTTTAGGATTAGCCATTTTATTATTTTATTATATGTGTGTGAAGGGATTACTTGATTAAATCTCTGATAGTGGAAGAAAGAATTTTGGGGATCAAATCCCTCTTATATTAACCTTGAAGTGGTGTTGCTTTAATTTGAGAATAATAGTTAGTAATAAATTTTCCGGATCAATTCCTTTTTTCTTTCTTTTATTTTTACATTAAATGTATAGTTAATAGTACATGACTTGCTACTCTGGATGGGGTGCCATATATATATATATATAGGGTGTTTGGACACACCACCGTTAATTTCCTAAGATCTTGAAGTTAACGATCGGGTATACCTTCCAGTGATTATCCCAATTAAGGATTGAAGTAACTTAAATTCATGACATCTTAAATAATATATCCAAAAATCATTGTTCAACCACTCAACCACCCAAGAGTGGTTTATAGACTTTATCTTTGTTTCTCTCATTTTGATGAGATAAATTATTTAAATATTACAAAGAATTTATCAAAATACTGCATATATACATATCAGTACTAAAGATGAAGCCGTTATGTACAAAGCTATTTCTACATAAAATAAAACACATCATCAGTAATAGAATGAAGTTAAAAAAAATATAAAATTAATTGTTAACAAGATATATACAACAGCATTGCTAGTCTTACAAAGAAGCCTACAAAGGAGGCATACAAAGTTAACATACACCCTTCATCTTCATCATTTCTCTCTCTCTCTCTTTCTCTTTTTCCGTTTTTTCTTTGTTTTTTCCTTCACTTTGTAAGCTTCTTTGTAGACTTCTTTGTAAGGATAGATTTATTGTATATGCAAAGTCCAGTAATAAATGAATATAATGGAGCCATATATATATGTTCTTGAACTAAAAGAAATAAATCTAATTAAAGGACAGTAAATCAGAATAATAAACGAAAAACTGTTAATTTTTCCTACAAACTTAAGGATTTGATCGAGCAATTACTTGTGATAAAAGTAACCAAATTAATCTACTTAAGATTGTTGTAAAACTCCGTTAAAACCTTGAAGATCCTCTACTAGAATCACAGGAAGAAGACGCTGATGCAAGCTTTACTTGCGAGATTTGCATCGAACCTGTTGATGCTGGTTTTCGGCACCAACCAATTGTCACGTGGGTTTTGCTCTTTGATGAATTATTGCATGTGATAATGGATATATGAAATGAAATAAATGCAGGGAAAACTTTTAAAGTGGTTCGGATGCTAAGGTAGCAAGTCCTACGTCCACTGAGTTGTATTGATTTTAGTGAGGGTCAGGTCGCGAAGCGGACTGACGTACAAAAAGTTATGAAAAGTAAGTGTTTTTTTTTTTACAAGAGAGAGAGTTATTCTTTTTGTAAAGAATGGCCGAATCCCCTTAATGGAGGGGTCTTCTCCATTTTATAACAAATTGAGGCGTGTAATCATCATTAAATCCATGGGTTGGTGTGATTGTCAGGNTTGTGTGTGTGAGTTGAGTGTCGTGTTGGCTTAAGCCAGGCTTTCACAAATTTAATGTGTGCCTCATTACTGTCCTTTATATCAGAAGAAATCTCTGAGAGATTGACATGAAGAATTTTTTATTGAAATAAAAGGGATCTTACTTCTCCTAAACTAAAACAAATTCTCTAAAGGAAAATATTTCAGAATAATAAAAAGGAAAGTGAATAAATTTCATATGGGAAACTCACTGCAAAAACCAACCCAAAACGGAGAGAATCCTCAACAAGAAACTCAAGAAGAAGATGATGTTGATTCAAGCTTCACCTGTGAGATTTGCATCGAACCCCTGTCAGCAAACAAGAAATTCAAGAACAAGAACCGTTGTGTTCACCCTTTCTGTCTAGACTGCATAGCCAAATACATCGAAGTCAAGATCGAAGATCACACCGCCAACATTCAATGCCCCGGATTGAACTGCGAACAAGTTTTAGATCCTCTCTCGTGCAGAGCGATAATCTCACCAAGTGTTTTTTCAAAGTGGTGTGATCTTCTCTGCGATAATTATGTTCTAGGGTTTGAAAGGAGCTATTGCCCTGGTACGAATTGCATGGAGGTCGTGGTGAACGAGTGTGGTGGGAATGTGAAGAAGAGTAAGTGTCCAAACTGTAGGCGATTTTTCTGTTTTCAGTGTAAGTTGGCATGGCATGCAGGGTATGGATGTGCAGAAAGTAGAAATATGAGGGATCGGAATGATATCTTGTTTGGCCAGCTTGTTGAGAGAAATACATGGACTAGATGTCCTGATTGTGGACACTGTATTGAGCTTCGTGAGGGCTGTAAATCTGTCAAATGCAGGTTTTTATCTGAAACTTTCTCTTCTTCTTGTAAAAATAATTAAGAATTAACTTTTATTAATGAGACTTTCAAGTTCGAATTTAAAAAATTCCATAAGATATTGACTAATTATTAGTTCGAATTTCAATGTGAGGTTTAATTTTTTTTTTTTATTAATTTAATTATTTTTTGGTTGCAGATGTAATACTTGGTTTTGTTACAAATGTGGGAAAAAGCTTTATGCTCCTTTGTTTATATGCAAATGCAGCCAAAACCCTTGTCATTGCTGGCATGTCACCACTATTATCGGCTTATTTATATTTGTTCTACCTCTAATAATTTATATTGTTGCTGTTACTTCCTGAGATTAATTCTCCAATCTTGTAAAGGATAGCTGCAAATAAATTATTACTGTAACTTTGATCTCCTAATTGCATCAAACGAATCATTCTGAAACATCTCTCGACTTTGTTATCTTAAATTTCTCAAGGAATGAAAGAATGTTCTAAAACATGAAAAAACTCTAAAATATCTCTTGTTTTAAGGTTAACCTATGATTAATCTCATCCAATCGCTATGTCTAACCGCTGTTTATATATTTTTGCCTCATGTTTGATCATATGGTGCTTCAAAGAGAGAGCATTGATTTGCCATATCAAACATATATATAAAAGTTTTACGGTACTATCTGTAATTTTTTAAAATTCAAACTCGTTAATAAAACTTTGAGACAAAATTTTATAGTTTTCAATTAGTAAAAGTTTGACTGAATTTGTGTTCTTTTAGTATTTTACCATCTGAGAGACATTTTTAATTTTTGATGGTCGAGAAGATAGACAGGCTGTTTGACATAAACACTAGTTCTTTGAGAAGATGTTTATGCTATTGAAGAAGTACGGAGAGCTGAAAGTGCTGCCATTGTCAACCAGGATTCAGAACTCTTCATAACTACCGATGTAGGCCGCAATCATGAGCACATCGCGACGAGGGTGTGGTACTAGATCGCCTTCTTCTTCTTCCGTGAAGCTGATGACTTTGGCCTCCGCCTTGGGTCATTTCGACGAGAGTTTGGCCTGGAGGATGAGGACTTGGGAAGCTGAGCCTGTTCGCGCTTCTCGGGCATGTTGTGCGTGTAATGACTCTCTTTCTAACTAGTATACCCGTAAAATAACAATAAAAACTTATTAAATATATATAAGAAAATATATAAACGAGTATAAAAGTATGGACCCATATTTAATTTTCTTTATACACAAAACTTTACATAATATAATAAAGTCTCAAAATATTAACTTGACAGTTTTGCCCAACCCTTCCGCTACGTGACTATTGCAAATGACCGCATTTCACATGTTCCCTGCAAAAACATTGAAAACAACGGGGTGATCACTAATTACTCAGTAAGTAAACCCGCTATGTTACCCTTCTCTCTTCATTGCTTAAATTCTGAATTTCTTTCCTTACTTCACACTCCCCCATTCTTCTTTATTCTTTCTCTACTCTTACTCTGTTTTTCTCTCTGTTCTTTCTTTGTTCTTTCTCTCTGTTCTTTCTCTATTCTTTCTCTATTCTAATTTTCCACTACTCAAATAAAGGGCATACAGAGAAAAGAAACAGAGAACAGAAAAGAAAGAAGAATAGAAAAGAAAATGCATAGTTTATACATTTGTGCATTTGCATTATATATATATATATATATATATATATATAATGCAAATGCACAAATGTATAAACTATGCATTTTCTTTTCTATTCTTCTTTCTTTTCTGTTCTCTGTTTCTTTTCTCTGTATTTCTTTCTTTGCTTCATTTTCTAGTCTTTCTTTCTTTTCTTTTCTAATCTTTCTTTTCTTTCTTTCTAGTCTTTTTTTTATTTCTCATTCTTTTCTTTCTTATTCTTTTCTTGTCTTTCTCATTCTTTTCTTTTCTTTCTTATTCTTTTCTTTTCTTTTCTTTTCTTATTCTTTTGCCAATCAGACTCGGTTGAGGCATGGATTTGGAATCTTGGCCGTGTGAGTGTATTCTTCTTTCTTGGGTACAACCCTCATCGACTTGCACTCTTACGTACTGTACCAATTCTTCTTTCTTCTTCTTAGGCCGCTCACTAAAAGCGACGTGCATGTGGGGAAAATTCTTCTTGTCACTCATGGTTTCCCATCGCAACAACCTTTTCTTCTTTTTATCTTTTTACACTTCTTTAAATAAAATTCAGATTTGGAACTTCTTTAATATTCTCATTTCTTTCTATTTACTCTTTAACATTCTTTAGTGCTTTTTTATGTTCTTATGAATATGTATGCATGTAGATGGTTTCATGGTTATAATTCTTTCTAAATTCATATGTTTAAATGCAATTATGCAATATAGAATGCAAACATGTCATTCTCTACCATCTACAAACTCATCTCAATATAACACATAATCATACTCATACAAACACTTCTCTTTGACATTTCATCAAACAACTTATGTGCACAAAGCAACTCTAATTTGACTACACTTCTTTCTCTTTTCTAAGCCACCAAAAATTGGGAATAAAACCCTCCATATTTAACGCCAAATCTGCCCAAAATATACACTTCAATTCTTCCAAATTTCATCCAAACATTCATCAAACATCAAATACATCAACACAACTTCTCATGGATAAGTTATAATCAGCATTCAACACCAAATCCATCAACAATTCTACATATAAAACATATATGTGCATAAAAGAAATTCTCTACACAACATAACTTAAATCATCCTTAGGGTAGGATTTACTTACCTTATATATGAGCAATCCAACCCTTTAAGAATCTTCTTTGATCCAACTCTCTTCCTTTTAAATCCTATGAACACAAACCATCAAAATTCAGCACTTTAAAAATTAAAACTCACTTCTTAGTGCAAGGATCTTACCTAAAGATGATTGGGATTGAAAATCCACTTAAAAGTATCCAAAATCTATGAATTTCCTTTGAAGAAGAATTGAAGAAATTTAGAGAATATGGAGGTGAAAGTGGCGTGAAAATGGATGAAGAGTGGCTAGGGCTTCACTCTTCAATCTTTGATATAACATAAAATTATATATTTAGTTTCCCATTTTGCCCTTGCACTTTCTTTAAAATTTCATCTATGTCCCTTAATCAATTACCATAATGCCCTCATTTTTATTGCATTTTCCATGAAATTTTATCTCTTTTCACTCCACACAATTTCAACTAATTTTGAGTGAAAAGACCATTTTACCCTTAATGCAAGTTTAAGGCATTTTCTTCGCATTTTCTCAAAATAACTTTAACAAAAAATCAACTAAAGGTATAAGAGCATAAATTAAATTACGTACCTTCATGTGGGCGTTACAGTGCGCTAGCCCGTCAGGAATCTCTAGTGACATTAGGTCCTCCGTAAATCATCCTGACTTGGTGGCCCTTTCCTTGAGCGGATTCTGGCACTTGCTCGCCCAAGTCTTTTCGGTTACACAGGTTTAGTGTTTTATCTACAAACTTCGTGAGGTGACCTTTCCTGATGAGGCCCTCGATTGCATTCTTCAGGGCACGACATTCGTTCGTATTATGACCAATGTCCTTGTGGAAGCAACAGTATTTCTGGGAGTCTCTCATGGTCTTCAGTCACCTTAGCTTTTCAGGGGGAGACAGTTTCTTAGCCTCACTAGAGACCACTAGGATTTCATCTATTGGGATGACTAGACGTGTGTACTGAGAGAAACGAGGAAATGGCTCTTTTTCCCATCTTTGGTCGACTCTTTGCCTTTTCGAAATGTGGCATTTGTCCCGATTGCTTCGCTTGAAGCCCACTCTCTTTTTATCTTCGGGTCAGTTATCCCCATATCGGGTAGTGGTGTTATCTAAGACCCCACCGGTCAATGTGACCACTGAGCATTCTACCTATTAGTATTTCGTCACCATTTGAGAAAATTAGGCGAGGCTTACATGATCTTCTCCTCATAGATCTTTCCACAGCTCGGTCTATGACTTGATCCCAGCGATTAGGAGCATCCAGATTGATTGCTCCAACGCGTTCACAACCTTAGATTGCTCATTCTGAAATCTCGTTAAATATGATGTCAAGCTTTCACGTCCCTCTTCCCATTGGATATTACTTACGTAACTTAAAGGCATGGCGAACCACCTCCTTGCCTGGAATTGTTGGCAATAAAGCGAAGCGAACTGCTATCAAGAGTGGATGGATTTGGCCATGAGTCTCTTGTACCACCTTTTGGCAACTCCTATTAGAGAAATTGCAAAAACAACGTCATTTTGCATGATTGCAAATTTGGTGCAATTCCATCAAATCAGTGAAGGCATCTAGGTGATCCCTGGGATTCAACGCATTCTGAGAAATGGGATTTACCTATATGTGCAAGAGGGTTTTACTCAAAGTATCATTAAAGGACTCAGTATTCCTATATTAATCTAGTCCAAAGGAAAATCAACAAGAAATCAGCCGAAAGTGGGCATCTCATCCTAGATATACCTAGTAACTGTTTGGACTGCACTCCTAAGGAAAAACCATCAGATGGGCTTGAATTATCCAAAGTAGTTAGCTTTCAGACTAAAAAAATCGAAACAAATATGAAAAAACAACATTTCAAGTTTTGTGAACAAAAGCTTGCTTATGGAAACCTCAAAATATCACTGGTATATAAGCCTGCAATGCTCTCAATGGTAGCCATTGCAACTGTTTCTATGTCTACGGGGCATTTCTTTTCAAAAGCTCGCTCGAAGTTCTTTATGTGTTCCAGCCCTTCAGATGGGAAATGCTCAAGTATGGTTGTAGCTAAGTTAGCTATACTAATTAGTTCATGGAGACACTAGGCGGGATTTGCTCTAAGTATGGGGTTTACCTAAGGTGGTTATACTAATGAGTTCACCAAGACAAGAGGCAAGACTTTTCTTCTTCCCCAACATTTTATTTCCCTTTTTTTTTTTTTTTTTTCTAAGGTGTGGTAATTGGCCACGTCTTTGGTACAACTCTGAACTCAAGACCAAGGGAAGCTTTCAACCATGCACCCCTCTATCCATTCGACCACAAGAAGGCCTTTGAGTCCAAGCTAAAT